AAAACTAAGGGCTTCATAAATTTATAACCAAATTTATGATTTTCAAGTTAGAGAAATTAGAGCAAAACGGACAAGAAACCACTTAAGCATTTACTATTTAATAGTTCCATCACCATGCTTTACTCATTTAAAAAATGCTGCTATTGTTATTTGTAACTTATATAAGGTCAAAAGACAATTAATTATGGATTACATATTTAGCAACAGGGATTGAAACCGATCTGTATGAAGCTTGTTCCATAATGTTCGCTCTTAGTGAAATTCGGGCTCTGAAATAAATATTTAGGGGCATATTGAGGATCTGAAATTAATATTTAAACGGGAAAAAAACAACACGATTAAAATATAATGAACTACTACTGAGTCAGATGGAATTGAAAACATCAAAACCTGCTTGATTGTCAGTGGAAACAGAAAAGATATTGAAAGATAAGTAAGAGCCGCTTCAAGTTTCCTCTAGCCATCACATTAATTTAAATATTTAAGCCTCGCCTTCCTGAATAGTAACTTGAAGCTTTTGCATTAACATTTTTCCCCTCCCTTGTTTAACTATTATTTTGTTTTTCCTGATGGATATACATTTTTTACTTCGTTTTTAAGGAGAATTCTTCAAATAATAAAAATGGTTAATCTTTGCAAATCCTTCATATTTAAATAACTTATAAAACCAATTTATTTTTACTTTTTTGCATGTACTTCCCAGTTTTCATTTAACTTTCATGTTCGAAAAGAACACTAACCTGCATATTTTCATAACTTTTCTATTAGAGTAGTTTGTAGAAACATTCTCCCAGGGTTTTAAATGCTGACTTAGTCACCGTTCCTTCATAAAGGCATGCATGGTTTTCGATCACTTATTTATTTAATAATTTAGAAAGTTCCGGGACAAATTATGGTAAAAATTACTGGCATTCAGGGTGCCAGTACTTTTTACCGTAAAAACCATTTTTACCTGAATATGTAACAACAAAATTTGGTGTACCCTACCTGACAATACTTCTAAAAAATCTGAAAATTTAAATATAAAAATTCAGATAATACCTATAAACGAATATCTGCGAACTGATAATACTATCCAAAACATCTATGGTTACACAATCTTTAAAGACCAGAAGTAATTACCGTAATATAACTGAAGCACTCTATCTAAATAAATATTACCGAAGAACTACGGTATAATACTTCACGGTAAAAACGGATTTTAAGGTAAAAAAGATTTTACGGCAGTCATCCAAAGTGCCAGTACTTAATTCCGTTATTTGATCTGGAATTTTGTAAAAANCCTTCATATTTAAATAACTTATAAAACCAATTTATTTTTACTTTTTTGCATGTACTTCCCAGTTTTCATTTAAATTTCATGTTCGAAAAGAACGCTAACATGCATATTTTCATAACTTTTCTATTAGAGTAGTTTGTAGAAACATTCTCCCAGACTTTTAAATGCTGACTCAGTCACCGTTCCTTCATAAAGGCATGCATGGATTTTGATCACTTATTTATTTAATAAACTGCACAAAGCTCCGGGTCAAATTATAGTAAAAATTACTGTCATTCAGGGTGTCACTCTTTTTACCGTGAAAACAATTTTTACCTGAACATGTAACAACAAAAAGTGACGTACCCTACCTGATAATACTTCTAAAAAATCTGAAAATCTAAATCTAAAAATTTAAATAATACCTGTAAACGAATATCTACGGACTGATAATACTATCTAAAACGTCCATGGATACACAATCATTAAAGACCAGAAATAATTACCGTTATATAACTGAATCACTCTAACTGCATAAATATTACTGCAAAATTACGGTATAATATTTTAAGGTAAAAAAGATTTTACGGCCGAATCACTCAAAGTGCCGGTACTTAATTCCGTTATTTAATCTAAAATTTTGTAAAGAAATGAAAAATAAAAAAAATTTTAAAAAGAACAGTGCATTTTAAAAAATCAATCTATATTCAATAGCCAATATTTCATGGCTTATTACTAAATGAAGAGCGACGTAAAAGACATATTTATGATTCAGATCCTCCTTAAACTAATGATGACTAGAAACAACTCCTGTTAACATCAGAATTGTAATACGTTAAACCTATTCCACTTCAAGAAACAGGGATTTATTAATGTTCAGTGCATACATAACTAACCAGGGGCACAATAGGCATCTTCAAACCAGCTGTATTACATTTACAACTTCTGCGAAGATTGGAAACAGTATGTCAAACGCACACAAGCCTAGGGGTGCCAAGTTAACGACCAAATTAAAGGTCTTCTACCAGTGGATAACAAAGCTTCGCTGCATTTAATGCCATCTCTTTCGATCAGCAGTTTCGAAACAAAGCGCTCCTGGCGCAAACTTACGTCGGATTCACGGTTGCGTTGTTGGTTCATTAGATCTAATACACAATAATTAGTAAAAGAGATATCTCAAAGGAGGTCTCTGGCAGATCTTCTGGAATACTTGGGGAGCATTCTAGAACAAAAGGAAACAGGCAAAATGGCAGTGCAATTTGTAGGTTTAACACGCTAATGGCTTGATTGCTGGAGAATATTAAGAAGTGTGCCGTGCATAAAATAGATGCTATTTCTCGTTTCCGAGGCGTGTTATTTAATTTTCGGTAAATGGAAAGATTATAATCCGGAAGATATGATATGAACTGAGACATATTTATAAGAATTTTTACCTTTCATCTTAAAGATGTTTTGAACTAAATATAAATATAATTATTATTGATATTGAGCTTTTTTGGAACTATTTTATTATTTTTTGTAATTGTTTTATTAATTTTTATATTCGGAAGTAATGAAAAAAAAGTACTATAACATTTAAAATTCTTATTTAATTAGCATTACAAAATGATTTAACTGCTTATCTTTTTTAAATTATTTTAATGTTTTTTTTTAGATTTTTTTAATGACATCAAACTGTTTTTTTTTCTACAATTGTATCAAATGTTTGGTACTTTGATCAGATACTGTGATATTCTTTTCTTTATTATAACAACGATACGTTTGCAATTAATTTGCACAAATATGATGGATTTTACAGTTATCCAAGAATAACTAAAAGTTAATGTCTAAAAAAATAAGGAAAAGTTTAAAGACACTGTTTAAAAATTAACAAGTTTTATAGACAATTTTAATTGTCCCAATGCAAAATTGTTTAAAAGCAGAGATAACGTTTATAATCTTTATGGATGTTAATGATAAAACCAAACGAAGCTTAAACCTTTATTTATCAAAATTGTTTTAAAATATCAGAAAAGAAATTTTGTCGTTTTTGTAACTCTGAAATTTAATGAAAAAATTTTTTGTTGACTGGAAAGTTTGTTTTATTGATTCAAAACACAAAATTTTGAATGTCTACATAACGAGCATATCAAAAATGTAACCCATGAAGGGACAACTTTTTATCCATATCCTCAATTCAATTTTCAATTCAATTCGAGTTTTAATTTCAATCTCAAATTTTCAATTCGAAGAAGTCTAAGAAGTGTATCTCTATTTTATTTAAACGATAACCAAGTAAAGAAAATAATTGTAATATACTAAAAGCTTCTTTGTAAAAATAAACAAGAATTTTCCATTAGCAATAAAATTATATTTGCGAAATTAGCAGTCCTAATTGTTTTGAAATAAAATGATTGCGGGTAATTTAAGAGAATATTACAAAAGAATGAAGCAATTAAATGACTTGATTAGCAGCAGCCCTCTGGAGAACGATATCAGGATTTAATATCTTCTATTTAATTATATTAAAGCAAATTAAAACGATCCAAATGAAAGAATTTATTAAAATAAATGTGTTTATCTAGATAAGCAGTGAGTGACAAAGTAATCATCAAAAGAGCGTTAAAAACTAAACATGTTTTTACCTTTCTTGCTTGAAAATGATGAATAAATTAAGATACTTTTAATGTTCCAAAAAATGTTCGAAGGAAAGAAAATAAGCATCTAACGGGATATCACATTCACTTAACCAGGGTAAGTAAAAAATATATAAGAAGCCTGAAAATAAGCATCTAACGGGATATCATATTCATTGAATCAGGGTAAACAAAAATAAACAAGAAACCTCAAAATGAGCATCTAACGGGATATCATATTCATTGAATCAGGGTAAACAAAAATAAACAAGAAACCTCAAAAAAAGTATCTAATGAAATATCATATTCACTCAACCAGGATGGGTGGAAAAGGATCAAATAACACACTAGAATGATGCCTCAGTGATTTTCTCATAAAAATCAAAAGGAAGGAAGCGCGAAATAAGCACCCAACAACAATTATACAAATTAGTCAATCGAGATGAATTGGAAACGATAAAATGAATGATCACTAAGAAGATCTCTCCCTGATCTTCTTACAAAAACCAAATTAAAGAAAACTCGAAAGAAGTGTTTAAGGACCTATCACAGAGAACTCAACAGAAAGTGATTGAAAATGATCAAATGGCACACTAGGAGGCTCTCTCACTAATTTTTTATAACGATCAAAGTAAGAAGAATACAAAATAATTGTCTAAGGATGTATCATATTACTCGATCAAATGTTTTGAAATGAATAAATAACTTACTAAGAGGATTTCTCTCTGTTCTTTAATGTAAACCAATGATAAGAAAGCATAAAATAAGTGTCTAACGGTTTAACATATTACTCAAGCACATTAAGAATCTCTCTCTCTCTCTCTCTCTCTCTCTCTCTCTCTCTCTCTCTTTCTCTCTCTCTCTCTCTTTCTCTCTCTGTTATTCTAATGTAAACTAAAGTAAAGAAAACAGGAAATAATTGTTTAACGACATATCATATAACTCAACCAAGATAGTTGAGAAATGATCGAATAGCACTCTAGGAGGATCTCTCCCTGATCTTCTTATGAAAACTAAAGTAAGAAAAACACGAAATAAGTACCTAACGACTTGTCACATTACTCAACCAAAATGTTTGGGAAATAATCGAATGACACACTAGGAAGATCTCTCACTGATCTTCTAAAGAAAACTAAAGTAAGAAAAACACAAAATAAGTACCTAACGACTTGTCACATTACTCAACCAAAATGTTTGGGAAATAGTCGAATGACACACTATGAAGATCTCTCGCTGATCTTCTTGTGAAAACTAAAGTAAGAAAAACACGAAATAAGTACCTAACGACTTGTCACATTACTCAACCAAAATGTTTGGGAAATAGTCGAATGACACACTAGGAAGATCTCTCGCTGATCTTCTTATGAAACTAAAGTAAAGAAAACATAAAATAATTGTCTAACGACTTGCCATGTTAGACTACTAAGATGGTTGGGAAATGATCCAATGACACGCTAGAAAGATCTCCTCCTGATCTTCTTATGGAAACTAAAGTAAGAAAAACACGAAATAAGTACCTAACGACTTGTCACATTACTCAACCAAAATGTTTGGGAAATAATCAAATGACACACTAGGAAGATCTCTCACTGATCTTCTTATGAAACTAAAGTAGAGAAAACACAAAATAAGTGTCTAACGACTTGCCATGTTACACTACCAAGATGGTTGGGAAATGATCGAATGACACGCTAGGAAGATCTCTTCCTGATCTTCTCATGAAAACTAAAGTTAGAAAAACACGAGATAAGTACCTAACGACTTGTCATATTACTCAACCAAAATGTTTGGGAAATGATCAAATGACACTCTAAGAGAATTTTTTACTACTCTTCTTATCAAAATAACCTGCATCAAAAACATAACCAAATCATGAATATACACCTTAGATTTGACAATGGTAGAAAACTAAACATTTAATTTTAAAAGTGTTGTTCCAGAAAAGTGAATTTTAAACGAAGTCTAACTGTACTTTAATCTCAGAAGCAAATTTTCAAGAAAAACAAGTGACATTTGAAAACCTGTCAACGCACCATATAAAATAACGGAATAGAAAATTATAATTTTTTTAAAATTCCATTTCAATATGTAGAATTCCCTTTTAGGAAAAAATTAAATTCGAAATATTACTAAAAATCAAATACATTTATAACGATATGCATATCGGATAATCCAATAACATTCCTTTTAGTATCTTTGAACATCTTAGATAGAATATTTTCACTTAGCCTAGAGGTGCAAGGAATTTCAATTTTCCACATCAGGGATTTACATAATTTTCATTTTATGAGAGAAATGCTCATAATAAGATAAGTAAGATGAGAGACATTTGAATACCCTAAGAATATATCTTATCTCTTAGGAATATTTAATCAGATTATGGTTAACTAGTTGAAAACAAATGCTTCATATCCTAGTTAAGGTAAAGCAACGAGAATGTTAAGCATTGTGAAGCTAAGCAGACTTATTGAAGAGTGTAGGAGTTTCAAGAATTAGAAGGAAAAAAATTATGCATTTTCTTAAAAATGAAAAGGTACAATACAGATCAACAATATTACTTTAAAATTACATTTGAAACTAATAATATACGCAAGTAATAAATTTCATCGTTTGGGGACACAATAGTTTAAACATATTTATTCTGAGTTTAGAAACAAAAGAAGAGTTAGAGATTAAAAATGTATGGACGGGTAAAAACTTTGTTGATAAAACGAATCTCTCTCATGTATTAATCATGAAGTATTAACAAGAGAGAAATTATAGCTCTAAACTATTATTTAAAAATTCGTAAATTGATACTATTAAATTAAAAATATGGCTCATTTAATTGTATGAACAATTCGCTTTTAACATTTCATTTCTGTCCGTCTTATTGTTGAGTTTGTTTTTGCTCCTCGTTGCCCCCGCAAGAAAAGAAATTTCGTAAAGAAATTTGTAAAAGTTTAAGTGTTTATGATTATGAATGCGCGGTCACTTGAAATTTCTATTTTCAGTTTTTTGTATCAAAGCGAAAAAGAAATGAAATCGTTTGAAGACATACATGCTCACACATACGTAACACATACACATTAGAGCTTTTCACTAACGATTTAGATTACATGTGTTAGAGCAGTGGTTCCCAAATGGTGTTCCTCTGAACACTATGGTTCCATGGAGAGGTCACTAGAGTTTCGTGAGTTAGGACTTTTTACGATTATGATGATTATAATTATGATGATGATTTGATTATGATGATTGATGATTATGATGATTTATGATTCTGAAACCTGTTATAGGTTTATATCCAACCAACAACCAATTATTTATTTAATATTAAGATTATTTTCATGAATTATTTTTTGTAAAATTGCTGTACAAATGAAGCAGCAAATTTTCAAAAAAATATTCATCCAGTAACAATGCATTAAATAAATTACTGAAAGAACATGGTTGCATCAGTATTTCTCTTCGAGCATTGAAATTTAAAATAGAATAACCAAATTCAAAAATAAGGAGTTATTCTTCCTTAATAACCATTCTAACAGTTCCTTTTCAAAAATTATAACTCAGTTTATTTTATTTAATTTCAACTTATACGGCAAAAACTACTAGACTTAACACGCATAGCAAAAATGTAGCCCCTGCAGACTTGTTAATTCAAGTGCCAAACATGAAACCTAATTTTGAGATTCTTTAATGGAACAATAAAAAAATTTCATTCACATTGAATGTTTCTAATTTCATTTATAAATTGTTTTTTTTCTTCTTTTATTAACATATTTATACCTGCTTATGAACATTTTATAAAATTAGGGTTTCGCCATAAGATGTTCAATTGCTTAGGGTTCCGTAGCTGAAAAAAAATCTGAAACCATAATGAAACCACAGAGTACTCAAAATGGTTTATACCGTCGGAATAAACTAAACAAATCATCAAATTTGCTATTTTATTTTTTCTTATTAACACTTAATTAAAAAAAAATTCCTATAATTTTCTTAAATATGCTAGTCATTTTTTAAAAAAGTCATGAGTTCGGCCTGACTCACTAAACAAAAAATGATACAACAAAGCAAAACTGAAAATAGTAGCAAGTAAATAAGAAATCAACTCAGATAAATTACTTATTCAAAAGTGTTCAGGAATGTAACATCAAGAATTGTATGTTACACAATATAACGCTTGATTTTTGGTGCTTTTTATAAAGGGAAAAAACGCTTTTTTTAATTACGCATTTGAGTTGCCCTAAACCCATGTTTTTTGTCAATTCTAGGTATTAGTGCTGTGATAATTGATTCAAACTGGACGTATCTAAAGATTAACAGTTAAAAAAAAAATACTATTTTGTTAGAAAAACTTAAATTCCAGTTTCTTATAAAATTATGAAGAAAGCATAATTCCTATTTTTTTATAAGTTTAAGCTTAATAACTAATTATTTCTAATCAGATTAAAATGTCAAACACTGTATTTTTAAGTACCAGTTTTACAAATAGTTTCAGAGAAAAAAATTCAAGTTAAACTTATACCATTAATATCAGTTAAAATAAACTCGTGTCGACATAAATCTTAGAATGAATAAGTTCGAATCTTTCATGAAAAATGCTATCTCTTAAATCTAAAAATTGTAATCTCATAAAAGACGTCTTCTGTGACTGCTATCATTCGTAAATTCTTAAATATTTTGATTTTTCTAACCAGTTATCAGTAGCTATGTTTCAGTAGAATTGGTATGTCATAGTTCTTATTGTAGTTTTTTATTGTTTACAACTAAATGAATCAAAAAAAAATTTTAAACTGAAAAGATTAAAAAATCATTTTATTTTGAAAACGTTCGATTTTCCCTGATAATCGCGCAGCGAGATGCAATCTACTGTAAGTAAACTTCCCACACACACGATCTTGGAACACCAACTACCCATGCATCTTTAGGTACCAAGACCTATAGTAAGACAAAGATCGCCATCTTTTGTTGAAAATCAGAAACACTCCAAATATTTATTTTATAAAAATCATTCTACTTATTTACTGTCTGGCGAATAATAAGTGTTCATGTGATGCCATGCAATATTATTCTTATCAATATAAAAAATGTTGATAATTTTTATTATTTTGATTAACATGCAAAATTTTATAAAATTTGACAAAATATTTTTATGTTAAAATTAACAGTGACCAAAGTATAGTTAAAAATATATTGTAATAATTATTGTATCAAATTTTAACTTCATCGCAAAATGAATTTCCAATTTGAGGCATTTTTAATGTTAGACTAAAGCATGTTTTTAATTGTTTAATTTAGCAGCCTGTTGGCTTAGATGTAAGTGATTTTCAAAAATACATGCGATTAAGAGTTATTGTGTACAATATAATAAGAATTTGTCAAACGCTTTATTGTCTATAGATTTTTAGCAAAGAGCTATCCTAAAAAATAGGCTGTCCAAAACGGCAATGCCAAATTTCCTTTTTTATATTTTACCCATTTCCGATATGTAAAATAACTTAAAACCACTTATACTTATTTATTTCAAAAAATCCATTTTTAATATATCTGAAAAAGACAGTTGATTTTTTTTTTAATTTCCTGGTTCTGGTTTTTTTAATTTACAGCTGTCCAATCTGTTACCTCCTTTTTAAAATTTATTGGTCAAGCTCAATTAGTTGCCTGTAATACACCAAGCAAGTCTGTCAACCATATTTGTTACATGATGTTTTTAGCCTGAAAGGCTTACACGTGGTGCAGTCTGCACGTTGGGTAACGTATTTTTTTAGTTTAATGATGGATTATCAAAACCCCACTGGTCTAAATTTTAATTCAGTTTTGATAATGACTATTAAAAACAGTGCAATATAAGAATCAGAGTTAATTACCAATTTTATTTTGTTTTTAAAATGGCTTCTGTTTGAAAAATGTCTCAAACTCGAAAATTACGCATATCTTTATGACAAGTGATTTAATTGTCTCAAGTACTACAAAGCACTTAATTGTTCATGATCCTCAATTTTTCTTCAAAACTAGATCCTTTGGATCTATAATTATTAAGTTCAAAATATAACACGATGAAATTCTTAGTCATACATTCGTTACTTTCATAGTCACAGCTTAAAAATCAATTAGGTTAAAAGTCGTCAATATTTGAACACAACAGTTTTCTACACATTTCGGTCGCAAACTCGTTTTTATAGTTTAAAATGCGAACATCTTTTTTAATCGAATGCATTTAACTGGTCGCTTATTTTCCTAGACTGTAGATGTTTATTGTTTTAACATAAATAAATAATTTCAATTAAAAAAACTGAAAGGAACCAAATGTGAACTCGCCCAGGATACAAGGAAAGAATGAAATTAAGTACTTTAAAACGAATTTTATAGCCATTCTTATTCGCTTATTTTTAACACCTTTTAGCGTGAAACCGATATAATAAAATATTTACGCTCCATGATTAATACATCTTATTCCCTGTTTAAATAAAAAAAAAAACAAGAATAAAGAATGTCGATTCCAAGGACAAAAATTTTAATGCCGGATATTGGCTCTTATCTAGCTGTATTCGCTGTATGGCGAAATGATTAGACGAGCAAATACTTGAAGTTGAACAGTAGTTTAAATACAGTTAAATTCACAAGGATCAAGTTCTTAATATTCTAATGGATGAGCTTGTATTACTAAATAGTACGGATAAAACAAATTTCTCGAAAAAAATCATTAATTCAACTAAAAACTTTTCTTAATTAAAATTTTACCAAATTTAGAAATGGTTAATTCAATGATTAAATTAATTGGTAAAACCTGCAAATTAAATTATCATTAAATTAATTAAATTATTAATTCAAGATTACATTATGAACACATTTTGGGTAATATCGTAAATGCCCAAACAGGCGTTTCGTTAAAATTGCAGAATGTCTGAATAACAAATAAATGATGAATTAAAGCATGCAAATTTTTTTGTTAAAATGTTTTTTCTGCTTAACACAGTAAAATCATTCAGTTTTTAGTAGAAATCTGTTTCAATGTAGCGTAAATATTTCTTTCTTCATTTGTTCTTTTTCTTCTTCTTTAGGTTATTCAACACAACAGTCTGTTACAGACCAAGGATATCTTAATCAGTACCCTCCAGCGAAATAAATTAGTCCCGACAGTTATTTTTTGTTCTTAAATTCCCTATTTTCGAAAGCTATTTCCCTATTTCCTGAAATAGTAACTTAACATGCTCTTCCACAGAATTCTTCAAATTTCATATTCATCTTTAATTTGCACTCAATTTCCTGCTTAAATTTATAAAATAAATTCAAACTTAAAATCATATCTTTTGCCTAAAATTGCAACCTAATATACATTTGTATCGAACTCTTAAAATTTTGCAAGGATCTTTAATTTATATTTAACTCTTTTAACAGAAATTCTTTACATTAATTCTAGCTTAAAATTCCATGGTATATTCATTTATATGTTTACTCAGCATATTCTACCATTAACCTCTCAATTTTTAATATGTATCTTTAATTTTCATTTAATTCCTTCAATTGGTATTCTATTGCATTAGAGTTGCATTATCTTTAAGTTGCATTATCTTTAAGTTTCATTATCCTACATATCTACATTAATCTCAAAAACTTTACCACTCAAGAGGGAAAAAAATCGTCAGCTCTTTCTCCTTGTATGTCAATTTTTTCTTCTCTTTTATTTGAATTAAAAGAAAGCGACTCAATCGTCAGAAAAGTTTCTATTTCCGAACGATCATTTAATAAACCAATTTACGTCCCATTAAAATAAACACATTTGTTCAGTGGTGTCAGAATTATTTACCTAACCATATCTATTTACCGAACGTGCTCGAATTCCGAAGAGCTTTAACAGCTGATTTAAATCAATTCCACCCCTGAACGCCCATTTTACTTTATCATTCATTTATAAAGTGCAATGGAATTAATGTGATTGAGGCTCATTAGATAGCACGATGATATTGAAATGTTTGACTTACACTTTAGGACTGCATTTTATTCCATAAGTGGCAACATGTTTTCTCA